GTGTCGATGTTGTATATTTTGTCCATGTGTGTCGATGATGTGGTATATTTTGTCCATATGTGTTGACGCTGTGGTTTATTTTGTCCATGTGTGTCGGTGATGTGATATATTTTTCCATGTATGTTGACGCCGTGGAGTATTTTATCGTTGTGTGTTTACGCTGTGGTATATATTGTCCATGTGCGTGACGCCGTTGGATATTTTGTCCAGGGGTACTAAGTCTATATCTATATTTCACTTTGCTTTTCAAATGTTTCAAATACTGTTTTCCTTTGAATTTCAACATTTTTCATGCTAATTAATAACCTTTTTAATAGTTGAACAAACGCAATAGTAGCAACGAATTGATGTTATGATGATTTCAGTAGAAATAGCGATAACTTTTAAATCGAAAAGTCCAAAAACGATTACTTACAAGTCGAACATCCTATAATTACAATCTCAAATACTAAAACTTTGTGGCATATTGATACATAAGTACTTCACAAAGCTGCACAACAATTATAAATACGAATATATTTATTTTCCTCGATATTGATAAAATATACATTGAGCCACAAACAAAACATTAAAGCATATGTTCACGAAAATACCCAGAAAAATTCTGCGCGAATCCAGTCATTCAGGGCAAATGTATTAAAATGGCTAATCATATTCACATTTATTACCTTTTCCATCGAAACGTAATGCTCTACACGATATATAAACATTAGCGTATTCACTACAACGACCACATGAAACTCTCTAATGAAAACATTTTATTGTATTATGTTGGAAAAAAGTCAAAGTTCCGGATAGCCAAAAAGCAGCATCAGATTACTGAAAACATTAACAAACAACTCCGGTCCAACAGGTCAAACAGTTTGGATAACGATGAACGGAAACGGCTCCACTGTCCGTACCGAGTTGAGAATTAGAAAAGTGCCAGTCAATTCCTGCATGGTTTTACCAATGATATATAAAACATATACAGCGGCGTAACTAGTCCTTGTTCGGAGTGGAATCATTTAGGAGCGGGTCTAGGGCAGGGCCTTATTATGGAGACAAGGGGGTGCAACAAGCATTTTTGCTTCATTTTTTCTTCTCTTTGAAAATTTAGTACTAAGGTACATTAATTTGCGTACCAGCGTATATGCAGTTAAACGTCTGATAAACCACTTTCTCGATACTCCAGAGTTTAGCTCACTTTCGCTCTCTGCACCCCTTAAATATGGTATTACAAAAATGAAAGCACGCAGCTAGTTGTTTGATTGATTTCGGGTAAAATAAAACCTGACCAATCAAGCAGCGGATACGTGTCCTTTCAATATTAGAGAGGAGCTATAACCGACTTCAAAGCCGGTCAATTTTAGCGTTAGGCACAGGGAGATTTTTTTTGGTGTTCATCAAAAAATCAAACTAGTCCTTCTGTCCCATCCCCAAGGTGGTGCACACTAAGCCCTCGATTTTGCTATGGCATACTCAAGGGGTGTAGCGAACGTAAGTTAGCTCAAGCCCTGGAGTACGTATCGAGGATGGGAATACCATGATCTGTTATATAGGTATCAAATAGATGTATCTAGGACAGACGCCATCCTGAGAACATTGCCTTGCCATAAACACTACTGCTATGTATGATTCCACTAAATTTAGACCGGATAAACACGTGATCTCCTACACTGACTGACGTCACAATCACACCGGTGGTACTATCCCAAGCATGCCCTGTTTCCGCATCAGAGAATATGGAACCCTGGGACAACCCGTTAATGACAAGTTCCGTCACAACGTTGTCTGTCGTGGTTCCAGTGGTCAGCCAGGTGAATACGTACACCCCACTGACCGGAACTGTGTATACACCATCTCCTGCATGATAGTGATCATCCATGTCCAGTAGGACTTCATCGAATGCTATCACTAGATTGGGATGTAAATTCAAATCTCTTCCACTCAAAGAAACGCTGAATGCTCCTGCTCCATTAGGCGCAACTCTGACTGCAATAACAAAACAAAAACAGTTTATTAAGCGATTGTTATATATGCCGTAATATGTTGTGACTCCCTTTAAACCACATTGTAGGTTTATGCTTACTTTCCTGGAATATGTCATAGCAAAATCGAAATCTCAGTGTGCACCACCTTGTGGGTGGGACAGAAGAACTTGTTTGATCCTTTGATGTACATCAATAATAAA